CTTTCAAAAGACCATATTTTCCATCTTATTTTTAGTCAGTGGTTAATAATTATTGAAGGGGTCTGCAAATATTAAGTTCATAAAAATTGGCACCATATTTAGAATTGAATTCTGGAATTTAGATATAGGGAAAATATGACTCCATTAGACTTATATTCAAGAGACTTTTCTTATTTATATTATGTTGTTCTTACTTTTTTTCCCTAAGTATTAGTTAATGGATTACTTAGTAATTTTGTTTTGACTTGAAATTAGTAGCCAAAAACTCTATCGTAGACCAGTTATTCGTGGAAGCAAAACAAATAACCATCTTTCAGTTGCCAGTTGAGGGGTTCCCCAATTGTCTGAAATACTGGAAAACTTGTGCCATTATATTAAACGTTCAGAGAGGACCATTCTTAAAATGTGCAAATATTTCATCTGTTGAGGAGTGAAATGTCTAGATGAGTGAAGATTATCCTTTTAATGCCTAAGCTTATTTAGACCTTTTCTGGGGGGAGAGAGATTTCTGAAATGCTACACACAGCCCTACTGTCACAAAGAGAACATAACAGACACAAGTTAATTTTCATCCAATGACATAGAGTTGTAATTATTGTCATTAATCACCATACCATGATTGATGAAACCATGATGTACCTGGGCATTCTTGCTGTATAACGTTGCTTTCCCCCTATACTACCTGACTCCAAACTGGCTTCTTCAAAGTATTTGTGTCTGCTTCTTAATAATTGTTTTTCACATATTTTGCTGTCAAATAAATAAATAGATGTAATGTATAATACACATATATTATGTGTGTATAATATTATACATTTTCATATAAATATATATAGCTGCTACCCATGCTGTCACCTCTAGCTACCTATGACATCCCTCTTCTAATTAAATCCAATAAATCATGCTTATGAAAATTCAGTATGGTAGTATCCAAGGGCTCCTCTATGAAATAGCTTATGTTCTCTCTTTGAGTCTCTCAAAGATCATCCATTTCTGCGGACTTATCATTATACACGTTTATTGAACACTTAAAACATAGCAAGCATTTTCACATGTAATTTTCCCGTTAATTTGTGCAATAAGAGTGCAAATCAGATATTACCAACTGTATTTTTATGTGAGTGGAATTTCCAGATTTGGCAAATAAAAATGCAAGTTTTCTCATTAATACTGAGTTTCCCATAAATAAACACATTTTTATGTCTTAAGGGATATACTTAACGTGAGACGTAATTACACTAAAAATTACTTACTCTTTATCTGAAATTCACATTTAACTGTGTGCTCTGCATTTTATCTGGCAACCTTACATGTGAGAAGATTAAGTTCAGAGAGTTTAGAAATCTATAAAAATTTACATAGCTGGGAAGTATTAGGGTTGATATTTGGACATAGGGCTTTTGACTTCAAGTTTAGGGCTCACAACTGTTCTACATATTGCTGAAAATACTGAAAGCATATCTTCCAGATAAGTAATGATATAGTTTGGGGATGTGTCTCCACCCAAATCTCATGTCAAATTGTAATCCCCAGTGTTGGGGGAGGGGTCTGGTGAAAGGTGGTTGGATCATGGGGGCAGATTTTCCCCTTGCTGTTCTTGTGATAGTGAGTGAGTTCTTATGAGATCTGGTATCTCATGAGATCTGGTTGCTTAAAACTGTGTAACACCACCCACTTTGCTGTCTTCCTCCTGCTCCAGTCATGGTAAGATGTGCCTGTTTCTCCTTCCCATCTGCCATGATTGTAAGTTTCTTGAATCCTCCCCAGCCATGCCTTCTGCATATCTTGTGAAACTGTGAGTCAATTAAACCTCTTTTCTTTATAAATGACCCAATCTTACATAGTTCTTTAGAGCAATTTGATAACAGACTAATACAGTGAGCTATAGGACTCCTATATCAAGCTATTTCCATATTAGTTTCCTGAGTTTGCTGTAACAAATTGCCACAAATTGAGTGGCTTAAAATAAAAGAACTGCAATGTCTGGTAGTTCTGGAGGCCAGAAGTCCAAAGTCAAGTCATTGGCAAGGCTGTGCTCTCTCTGAACACTGTGGAGAGAGATCCTTCTTCATCTCTTTCTGCCTTTTAATGGTTACTGAGATTCTTGACCATCCTTGGCTTCTAGCAGCATAACTCAAGTCTCCGCTTCTGATTTACATGGCCTTCTTGTGTGTGTCTGTGTAAGTTTCCCTCATTACAGAAGGACATCAGCCATTGGACTAGGGCCTCCCTAATCAGTATAATGTCATCTTAACTTGATTATACCTGCAAAGGCAATAATTTTGATAAGGTCACATTCACAGGAATGGGGGGTTAGAAATTGAAAATGTTTTCATTCCACCCACAACTACTAGTAATCCATTAATATACATGGAATATAAGACGATTCTTACCGACCTAGAAAGCCTGGGAGACTAAGCACAGAACCTGTAAATGTGAGCAGGGATGGGGACACTAGGAGCACGTAGGGCTTCTGATGGGGCAGAGCCGAAATAAATAATTCACACACTTTTATATGCTTAGCATAGCCAGACACTCAAATCTGTATGTTTAGTAGTTGATAGGATTTGGCTGTGTCTCCACCCAACTCTCATCTTGAATTGTAGTTCCCATAATCCCCACGTGTCATGGGAGGGTCTCAGTGAGAGGTAATTGAATTGTGGGAGTGGTTTCCGCCATGCTGCTGTTCTCGTGATCATGAGTGGTTTCTCATGAGATCTGATGGTTTTATAATGGACTTTTCTCCTTTTGCTGGGCAATTCTTCCTGCCATCATGTGAAGAGGGAATTGTTTGCGTCTTCTTCTGCAATGATTCTAAGTTTCCTGAGGCCTCCTCAGTCCTGTATAGCTCTGAGTCAATTAAGCCTCTTCCCTTTATAAATTATCCAGTCTCGGGCAGTTCTTTACAGCAGCATGGGAACACACTATAGCAGCATGGGAACACTATAGTGCCAGGAGGTATGTACTATAATTTTGACCTCATTTTATAGATGAGGAAATTGACACAAAAATGCTAAATAATTCATTTAAGGTGATGCAGGTAATATGGGATGAAATTGAGATTTAAGCCCGGGCACTCTGACCCTTGGAATCCACATTCTTCACATTTTTCTAGGTTAATTTAGGGGTAGAGGAGGCAGAAGGGAGGGCAACTTGAGGAAGGAAAGTAATAAAAAAACACAGTCCACTGTAGTGTTTCTATTGTTTTTGTTTTGTGCTGGTTTTGCCTGCCATCACTGCTGATGTGGTTTACGTGGAGCAGAGGGTCTGAAACCTAAGCAAGCATCAGAATCACCTGGAGGACTTGTTGAAACACAGATGGCAGGCCCCTCTCCAATGTTTCTGATTTCACAGGGCTAGGGTGAGGCCCCAGAATTTGCATTTCTCACAAGTTTCCACATGATTTTGCTGCTGCTGCTGAGGGACCTCAGTTGGAGAACAAGTGGCGTAGAGAAGATTGAGATGAAGTTCAAGTAAGAAATGGTTTCCAAGTTCAAAGGAAGGGCAGTAGGGAGCTGGAAAAGTATAAATGACCATTTTATAAGCCAACTTCAACTACTCTTTAAAAAGAATATGGTAAAATATTGTGTGCATATGTGTCACATGCACACATGCACACATACACACAGCATACTGGTAGGATACATTACAGATTCCTGGATTTATAACAGTTGGAAAGCAGCATAGGATTTAGACTTTTGAAACAGAGACTTGGATTCTAGTCCAGGCTTGTTCCTAATTAGTCAGATACTTCTTGTCTGTAAGCCTCATTCCTTCCTACTCCCGCCCTCAGTATACAATAAGGCAGTTGAGATAGGGAAATAACTAAACACTTGGTGGTACCAAACCATTAATAGTCATTTCTGAGAAAAGCAATGGTATGGAAAAATCATCTCTAATAGATTTTCTCCTATTAACTTTTTTTACACAAGCATAAGTGTTCATTATAAAAATTCTAACATAATCAGACAACCTAAAGTCGTATATTACTCACAAAACAGCCAGCCAGAGATAAATATTTTCAATGTTTTGAATATTATCTTCAAAAATGAAACAGATGCATACATGTAACGTATTATGCATACTAATTTGTGATCTTTTTATTAGTAGGGTTCCATGCCCATATTTGTGTGTGTGTGTGTGTATGTGTGTATGTGACCATTTTTTAATATTCTCACAGTATTATATTGCACAGTTATCCGACAATTTATTTAACCAATCTCTTGTTCCTGGGAATTTAAATGGTCCCTAATTTGGAGCTAATATGATAAGTGTGGTGGTGAACAGCCTAGCGCATACACTTTGATGTATTTTTCCATTCTAGGGGGGAATTGGTGGGTCAAAGAATAATCCTGTCTTTAAGATTCATAAAATATTAAATCAGAAACAGTCCTGAGATGTGTCAAGTGATGATGCTTTTATTATACATGGAAAGAAAGGTCACACATGTGTGTTTATTCTTTGTGTGTATAATGCAGAGAACTAAACTGTAAGGCTATATCCTGTCATGTTGATCAGTATAATCTCTTGCTCCTTAGATGAGAAGGATTTTTTTTTTAGATGGAGTCTCGCTCTGTTACCCAGGCTGGAGTGCAGTGGTGTGATCTTGGCTCACTGAAACCTCCACCTCCCAGGTTCAAGCAATTCTCCTACCTCAGCCTCCCAGGTAGCTGGGATTACAGGCATGCACCACCATGCCTAGCTAATTTTTGTGTTTTTAGTAGAGATGGTGTTTCACCATTTTGGTCAGACTGGTCTTGAACTCCTGACCCCAAGTGATCCACCCATCTTGGCCTCCCAATGTCCTGGGATTACAGGCGTGAACCACATGCCCAGCCTAAGGAGGTTTTTAAAATTTACCCCATTGTGGTTTTCTGTATTTACTAATCAGTCTACACTCAAGAATTAGTTGCAATTAGTATACAACTACTTGAAAGTTGGAAGCAGAAAAATGAGAAGCTGCAATCTGTGTGGGCAAAAGAGACAGCAAGAGAAGGATTTTTTTTTTTTTTTCTAGACAGCAGAGGAAGAACTTGGCTTAAAATAAAAAGCTTCAGCAGAGTTCAAATGAAATACATGCACCAATTCCTTCAGGTCCTTGAGCCCTATGATATTCTCACAGAAAAGAGGAAAGACAGTCTGAAAAATCAAGTCAGAAGGACAATGCCAAGGCCAGCAGGCACAATCTGAAGGAAGGCTGTTTGAGGGGGTTCGGGAGAGGCCACATTGAACTGAATTTATTTTTTGTGAACCAAGGACCACTGAGCTGATCCAACATCCACATCCTCCAGCCGGAAGGCTGCAAGAGGCAAGCTTCAAGGAGCTAAGGCTACAGGGAGCCCTTTCTGACTGGGAGCCCATTCAAACAGGGAGAGCCAGCCAGCAGGGGAAGTTTGGGCTCAGCAGATGAGTGTGAAGGAACATCGGCCCGGCCAGTGTTGACGTGGCAGGGTGTCAGCATTCAGAGCGGCAGCAGCTGCCAGAGCCCTGAGTGCCCAGATTGATAGGAGGAGTCTGGAGCCTTCCAAACAAGCTAAGTCCAGGCACGCAGGAAATGTCAGAGGCAGCAGCCTGGTGGAGGGGCGGGGGCTGTTCTGTGTGGGAAGGCCTCTTTTGATTGATTCCCTGGTATGGAAGCCTGGCGATGGCAGTCAATCAGCAAAGGATCTGTGTGGGGTGAGGAGAGAGAGGGAGGAGTGGGAGGGGAGGAGGAAGGTGGAAAATGTGCCAAAAAGAACTTGTGGTGCCTTCCAGAGCCATGAACTGGAAGAAAGCTCAGTGCTACCCTGCAGGAGAAAGTGCTGGCTGAAGACCTCTACTGAAAACAGGCAGCCACTCGCAGCCAGGGAGCTCTTGTGTCCATGCTGACCTGCCTGGAGTGTGGGACCCATCTCCAAGGGAGCGACGCGGGTGATGGTATTTTCCACCCTGCAGAGCAGGAAAGAGAGTCCTGTTCCCCAGCAGATGGATGTGAAGAAGACACAGGCGACCACCTCTTGACTATGTCTACAGCATCAAGAGGAGGCTCGTGTGATGTGGGTCTCCTGGAGTGAAACTGGGAAGTCAGACAGCCTTTGTCGTCAGCCCGTGGTTTCCTCCCCACGGTGGGAGCATCCATAAGACCAACAATTGACACAAATCCTGTGTCGATGAAAAAGTAGAACACAAGGCTAAGGAGGCAGGATTCCAGGCAGCACTCCTCTCTAATTACTTTCAGTTAAGAGGAAAGGAATCTAGCTTATTAAGCAGACCTTTTGACATATCTAGCTTATTGAGTAGACATTTTGACAGAAAAGTTTAAATGAATAGATAAATAAATAAGATGGAAGTCAAAGTAGTTTATCCTAAGATTATATATGCAATTAAATCCTCAGCTAGGAGTTCAGGATTCTAAGAGTGGCATTGACTCTAGAAACAAGAATCTGGTCAGGAGTTGGAGACCAGCCTGGTCAACATGGTGAAAACCCATCTCTACTAAAAATACAAAAATTAGCCGGACGTGGTGGTGGGTGCCTGTAATCCCAGCTGCTCAGGAGACTGAGACAGGAGAATCACTTGAACCTGGGAGGTAGAGGTTGCAGTGAGCTGAGATTATGCCACTGTACTCCAGCCTGGGTGACAGAGTGAAACTCTGTCTCAAAGAGGGAGAGAGAGAGAGAAAGAGAGAGAGAGAAAGAGAGAGAGAGAGAGAGAGAGAGAGAGAGAGAGAGAGAGAGAGAGAGAATAATCTGACAAAGTGCCCTGTTGCCAATAGCTTTCATTTCCTATCATTTTCATTTCATGTCCTACATCATGTGGTAACCACTGCCCTGATACTCACACATCTGTTCTCTCCTAGAGTCCCTATCGCAGCATTTGCCACGGTGTCAGTTATATTAAAGAATTTATATGCCTGCTTACTTTTCATTGGTGTCCTCTGCAAAAACATGATCTCCTTGAAGGTGGAACCAAGCCTGTTTTAGTCACCTTGTATCCCAGTACAGGATTGGCATGTGGTAAATACTTGTTGAATCAATGGATGATTGAATAAGAACACGTAGCTGGAACAGGAAAGAATTGCAGGCTTCAAGAAAACACAAACTGAGTCTTGGAGACAGGCTGGGGGCAGGTCAGGCTGAGACATTCTGGAAGGACACTGATCTATACAGCCTAAAAATACTCCAAGATTTGAGAAAAAAAAAATTCACTAGGAAGTTCCAAACCAGTCAACAGTACTGACTACCAGGAGGAAAAAAATAATTCCAAGGATTTAAAAAATTCTCAGGCATGTGTTCATGCTTATTTACCCCCCTGGGGATTCACCAGAATAAGCCCTTGTCAAGAGGAGGAAAACAGCAGGAAACTTAAGTATTTTAAGGTGCCTGCTTTGTGCCAGGCACTGTTAAGCAGTTTATGTATGGGATCACTCCCTTCTCATTGGCAGATTTGTGAATGAGGTATTAGTGTCACTCTTTTAGACTAGAGCTTACAGATGTCATCAGATATGCTTAATGGCAAGATTGTTCAAGGGTAGAGCCAAGATATTAACCTAGATTTATTCCTGACTCCAGAGTCTGTAGCTTTTTCTAGACAACCACCTTTGTTATTCAAGACCTTCCAGTGTAGTTGCTGGTTTTCTAGGGTTTCCAGTATTCTGAGGCAGCCCAAATTATTCTTAAATCTCTAAAGCTGCCCCATAGTAGAGAGAGAGAGAGAGAGAGAGAGAAAGAGAGAGAGAGAGAGAGAGAGAGAGAGAGAGAGAGAGGAGTGTGTGTGTGTGTGTGTGTGTGTGTGCTCGAGTGTGCGCTTGTGTTCTAATCAACATTGGCAGGTTAAAAAAAAAGGTGGAAGTTTAATGCCTACTGGCATCAATAATAAAATTCATAGTGGATTTACTCAGTGTTGAGTAGATTATGGATTATGCATCAAACTATGTGATCATACAGCAGCAAAATTGGGAGCTGGAGCTTTTCCTATTTGATTATACTTGCAATGTAGATATCTGTATTTTTTTTCTCAATGTGATTTGTATTTGCCTTTGTGTCACTATTCTGGATTATCTATAAGTAGATTATTCTCAGACTCCTGGCTCCAAGTAATCCTCCCACCTCAGCCTCCTCAGTTGCTGGTATTACCGTGTGAGCCACTGCATCCAGCTTACAGGTAGATTTAATTTGGGTTTTTCCAAGAATGAATGTCCTTGTAAGTTATGGATGATGCCTACTCTACATTTGAGACTCTATTGACATCTCAGCTCCTTCTATTTAGTTTTATTGTCAAGATATCCTTTGGGACTAAAACACTGAATTTCACCTAATCCATCAAAGGTCTGGGGAATGGTGACTTGTGACATCAGCCTGAAAGAGATCTGTTGATTGACAATATGAAGTCATTTCCACAGAGGACTTGAGTAGGAGGGCAGAAGGGGAAAGATGGAGTGCTTTTTAGCTTTCCCCCCCACTTTTTCTTTTTCTCTTCAGGTGTGGCCTTGTTGCTTTATTTGAAATCATTAAACTTTAGTGTGGCAGATGTGGCTTCATTCACATGCAAGAGCAGAGTGTAATTAAAAGCCAGACTTAAGTTCTCAATGTGTGATTTGTCTTTTAATTGTCCATGTGTCTACTCCTCTTTAACAGAGAAAATAATTGTGGTTTGATTCTATTTTTATTTATTTAATTTTTGAGATGAAGTTTTGCCCTTGTTGCCCAGGATGGAGTGCAGTGGCGTGATCTCGACTCACTGCAACCTCCGCCTCCCAGGTTCAAGCAATTCTCTTGCTTCAGCTTCCTGAGAAGCTGGGACTACAGGCATGCACGGCTGTTTTTTACATTTTTAGTAGAGATGGCATTTCACCATGTTGGCCAGGCTGGTCTCGAAATCCTGACCTCTAAAGATCCGCCCTTCTTGGCCTCCCAAAGTGCTGGGATTACAGGCATGAGCCACTGTGCCTGTCTAGACTCTGTTTTTGTACAGAATTATACATATAGTATTGATTGTTATCATAAATGGCACATACATAGATAACATGCTTTGCCCTGGCTGTATAAAAGTAGTTTGTTGACCAAATCAGATTTTGCACTCAGAGCTAGGGTAGCTTTCCCTGAGTGGTCAAGTCCTGTGGCTTGAGAGGTGAAGAAAGGTCTTGTCATGTCAGAAGAAACTTCAGTCTACTCATCAATCAGGGTTTCTGTTCCTCAAAGACAGCAGCCTCTAAGCTGCCTCCTGATTGAAGGTCCCCAAAGCCACTAGGAGGAGCTAATGACTGACCGAGTTTACGCTCACCAATATTTAAAGCAAATTGCTCCACAGACCTCCCACCCTGGGCTGCAGGCTCTGGGTGTTTAATTATTTACATGGTAATGGATGGACCAGGAACCTTCCGCCCTTCCAAGAGCTCACCAAGGAGAGCAACTGTGTCTTGTGATTTCATTTGCGGGTTATTTCCTGTAAGGAAGAAGTCTTTCCAACTTTACTGCAGACAGAAAGGTGGAGAAAGTGCTACATTAGCAAAACTCCCAAGTGACTCCCATTTGAAATTAAAACACACACACACACACACACACACACACACACACACACACAAATGCGCTGACCTCTGGGTGTCTGATGCTTCCCACAAATTCCCAGTGTACAAGAACCATTGAAGAGACCCAAGGAAAAAAGAATCTGTTTCTGGATATCATGGAAAGCCCCTTCCTTTTCTGTAAACAGAATATCGGAATTTAAGAAGGGACAAATTCTCACTGCCTGGGTTTGAATCCCAGATCTGCCATCTACTAGTAGTGTATCTTTGGATGTGTTTCTTAACCTCTGTATTCCTCCTTTTCACCATCAGTGAGTGATAATTCTACATGCTCCTGGGGTTGTGCTGGCGATTAAGTAAGTTAGAACAGAAACCTACATGCCTGTGAGCTAGTGCTCAGTTCTGCTTCATGGGTTTTCTGTTCCCCAAGGCCAGTCAAATGCATTCTAAATTGATAATAGAAATTCAGGTGCAATCACAATTTTCTATTCTGCTTTTTCATTGAACGGTGTATCACAGCCACTTTCAGGGGGTACCACCAAATTAAAAATTCTCTGTAAAGATGGAAAGGAAAATCTGCAGGTAACTTTCAACACTAAAAAAAACCCCCAATAATATCATTTTGCTTGGTTTAATTCAATGCATAATCACGTTTTCTCGCTTTTGGCAGGAATTGTGGCAAATTAAGTTGGTTGTCTCACTGGCTCATAGAGTCAAGAATCTTGCAGTTCTGCATTTTTTTTTCTTTTTAAGTATTTTTCAAGTGATCAAAAAGAATTAAAGCTATTGTTTTAAAGTAAATTGGATTTTTTGGTCAGAAGCAGTGGCTCACCCTTGTAATCCTGAAGCTTTGGGAGGCCAAAGTGAGTGAATCATCTGAGGTCAAGAGTTCAAGATCAGCCTGGTCAACATGGTGAAACCCCATCTCTGCTAAAAAATAAGAAGTAAAAGAATTAGCTGGGCATAGTGGCACGTGCCAGTAATCTCAGCTACACAGGAGGCTGAGGCATGAGAATTGCTTGAACCTGGGAGGCAGAGGCTGCAGTGAGCCAAGATCGTGTCACTTCCACTCCAGCCTGGGTGACAGAGCAAGATTCCATCTCAAAAATAAATAAAGTAAATTTGGTTTTTTAAAGTTGGAACTTATGTTGAAAAAAAATGTTAATCTTCTTTGGGAAAAGTACTTGAAAATGTCTGTTAAATAAATCCTCAATACATATTGCCATTGTTTTCGTGCTTATAAAATGAACTTATTGTATAGCCATTTAATTAGCAATTTTCAAAATAAAAGTTTACCTGTAAAACCAAAGTTTTTTTCCTGGATGTAAAATAAATACACAATAGCAGAAGAGAATGTATAAAACAAGAAAGTACATAGTAGAAAATAAAAATTATCTAGTAACCAGGTGATTATGAAATAATCTTTATTAACATTTGGGCCTTTTCTTTCTGACATTTATTTTTGTTTGTATACACATGTGTGTGTACATGTGTTTATGTATGTGCATTTGTAAAATGGAGATTATTCTGTATGATATCATTTTTCACTTTAACATTATTGTAAATATTTTCTCATTTTAGATTTAGATAATGCTATGTTTAATGGTGTCTATAAGTATTTACTTTTCAGATTCTACCTAGAGCTGAATTTATGAAAAAGTTAATGACTCTTGACCTGTGAGACCTAGACTGGGCCCTAACAATGTATTTGCAAGCGTAAGGTATATTAACAACTTCCTCTCTTATCAGATGTCATTGAAGTGTCAGTAGTCAATGTTAGTATCTGGCTAAGGGAAAGTTGGATTGGAGAATTGATGGTGTGAATCTACTGGGATATTTTTAATAGTTTATAGTCACTTCTTGTGTAGTTAAGTTTTTTTGTTTTATGTTTTTGATTTTGTTGTTGTTGTTGTTGTTGTTTGTCTTGTTTTGTTTTTAATACTTGCTCTGTCGCCAGGCTGGAGTGCAGTGGCCCAATCTCGGCTCACTGCAACATCCGCCTCCTGGGTTCAAGTTATTCTCCTGCCTCAGCCTCCTGAGTAGCTGGGACTACAGGTGCGCACCGCTAAACCCAGCTAATTTTTGTATTTTTAGTAGAAACAGGGTTTCACCATGTTGGCCAGGATGATCTCGATCTCTTGACTTTGTGATCTGCCCTCCTCAGCCTCCCAAAGTGTTGGAATTGCAGGTGTAAGCCACTGCACCTGACCGTGTAGTTAAGTTTTTTAAAGTCTTGCATTGTAATGGTTAAGGTTATAATGCACTAGCTCAACTGATGTTATACTCAATAGCTATAGCAATAACAATAACCCATTCATCCAGGACAGGTAGTGGATGCCCTTCAGAACCTTGCCTCCGAGGAGCAGACCATAAGATTTTCAGCCATCTCCCATCCTCAGTCTCTGCCTCGTAAGGCGATTGACAGCTTCCTTCCCTAAACCCAGAAACCCCATCTTTAAGAGGAGCTGTGGGAATGAAAGGAAACTTGAAAAACTGAACTAGTCCTTAAGGAAACAGTTTAAATTGCTGACTTGCACTCTACATAGCGTGCTCTTCTCAATATCTCTACAAGAATTTGGATGGGTTTGTGACAGAGATTAGTACACCTGCAGAGGAATGAAGGCGACACATTTCCTCTGCACATCTGAGGGAGGTGTATGTTTGCAACCCTGCGTCCCTATCCAAGAACAACCTGGTCTCTCCTGTGAAGGTCAATAAGGAAAGAATTAGTAGAATGGCTACATGGGGAATGTGGATTATCTGAGATTTTCACCTACTTTCAGCAGGCTACCTTGTCCTAGCAGGAATCACTTTTGGTTTCCAATATCGTGCCAGAGAATGAGGCCAGGGCCTGCACGTGTTAGTCCTAAAATGCATCATTTGTTTCAGAAAAGGATAATGTGATTTGCCTTGCAGAGGATCTCAGCAGTAGTTGGCTAGCCCAGAGGTGAGTCAGGGTTAAGTGACTTAGGAAGCCACATGAGTCAGTGAGGCCTGCGCAGATGGAGGAAGCTGACTTGGCGGGTTCTCTAGGTTCCCTTCTAGACTCAGGTCCCTTGTTGGTGACGCAGGCTTTTCATTTACTCCCTTTCCAGGGTGGTTTTCCTGGGTGACACTGGCATCAGTGGAAATATGCATAATGAAGGTCTCTATTGGCTACCAGTCTGGCCACAGTGTGTTGCCCCCCCCCCCACACACACCCCTTCAGACCTTCCTGTGTGTATGCACGAAAGCCAGAGATTTCACACAGCTTGACTGAAACAGATACTAAGTCAGACAAGACCTCAGATCTGAGCGGCATAAATGCAACACCACGGGATGCAGCAGGTACTGTCAAACGTCCAAGTATTAATATTAGAGAGATTATGAGTAATTCCTTTTTGAGTTAAGCAAGTTCTTTTTTAGAGAAGCCAATGCATTTCAATTAAATGTGCAAAACTGCCAAAGCCTGTAGGACGTATAAAATAAGGTAGGCTAATAAAGTCTTAAGGTATGTTAGCAAAATTCAACATGTTTGTGCTAATCAAATCAATGATTCAAGGAACTCACACTTCTGTAGTCTCTGAATGAGAGAAATGGTTTTCTAGGTGTGAGTGAGTCACATCAAATACAAGTCCAGGCATTCTGAAATTTTATGTGCATAAGTGCAATGTTATTAGAGGAGCTCTCAAGAAATAGAAGAATGATTATGAAGCCTGTCTACTTCCTCAGAAGATTCCTGGAACAATTAATCAATTCAGGCCAATGCATTTAATTTACTAAGGGTGATAACTAAACAATCTTAATGACTGAGAAAAAGGTATTTCAGGTTGTGACACTTAGCTTGTTTAAAAACTCAGTTGCCATCTCACAGATCAAGAATGGGATCTTGCTAGGAGGAATAGCTATATTTCACACCAGGGACTGGACACTATAGCATTTCACTTTTACTTTTGTGAGATAAACTTTTAAAACTGTTTGGCTTCCAAGTTAACCTCAGGGTGACTCTCCTCTGGAAATAAAAAGCTTTATAGGATATTTCTTTTTCTCACCAAACTCTCCAGGTTAGACAAACAATTTAGCCTTTCTTTTTTAAAAAAGGTAAAGAAAAGTAAAGAAATCCCTTAAGAGAGATTATGGAAAGTTTTACACTGAATATAAATGAAGAACAAAATACAAAAGGGAGAAATAGAGGAAGGAAAAGTAGGGGTTCAACCAAGCCAGTAGCCCCAAAATAAACAAAGACAATGCTTTGGTTACAATTCCATTAAAGCCAATTTTGCTGTCTCTTTTATTACTACACTTACATATGACTGCTATATATAGACTATATGGAGATATATATGACTACTAAATATATTTTAAAATATATACTGTATGTATATTACTACATATATTTTAAAATAACCTATGTATTCATGATGCTTGTGCCATGTACGTATTTCATGAGAAATCTTCCTGCAGGTATGAAATCTACTTTTTGGGAAAAATGATGGTAATGAGTTGGTCCCAGGTAACAGCCACCCAAGGAGAAGGCTGCAGCCTGAAAGGTATGCAGCCCGGGACCTCTCTTTGCTCTCAGATAGCTTAAACCTTGATATATATTTCCTCCCTCTGTCTTTCAAGGGAAACTCCCTCAAGATAAATGCAAGACCTGTCAGAAATGACACCTTGTGTAGGAATTTAGTGAGGGGAGGCCTGAAATGCCAAGCTCGGAGTAAATTTCCCAAGTGTTTCTTTACTTCTATGCTCATGGAAGCTGGTCTGAGACATCCTCGGGAGGTCTTTACGTGGTGCTAAAGGACTTACATCAAGTATTTGTTTGAGTAGACGGGAACACCATCCCCTCTGGGAAGAAAAAAAGGAATATTTTATATTTTAAAAGATTTCTAAAGCCAACAGAGTGAACGTTAAAGTTTTTAATGGTGCAGAATGATGAGAATTTGATTCCAGCCAAAGCCAGATTATAAGAAGAAGAAAAAAATTTAAAAAGCCTGGCTTTCTTAAGCCTATTCTCTGGGGCTTATTGCTGTGTGATTTCTTTTTTCTTTTGAGTAATCTCTTCAACAAAACGGGGATCAGAAAAGGAAAAGGAAACCTCCACAATGCAAACTGGTCCCTGGGAGCCAGGACTGATTAATGGACAATTTTATGGCTCATTTGTAAAAAAGGAAATTCTAACAGAGCCCTCTGTTTACTTTGCTCCTACAATTCATATCAAGAAGACAGAAAGCAGAAATGTGGGAGCATGAGGGCATTTTTAGACCTCACTCAATAGCTCAACTAAACAGAGCAAATAGATTACGGGTGTTTGAGCATTAATGAGTCCAAATTACTTGAGGATTTGTTACAAATAATGATTGTCAGGGGATGACAAAATGCTAGCATGTTTTTCTTCTTTGATACTGTAAACTCAAGTTCAAATGCAACATTAGAAGCTTATGAATGGATTCCAGTTCTTTCTTTCTCTCCCAGAGTGAGTACCTGTTATCACTATGATGGCTTATTGACTTACAAGGTTGGCATATTTATAAATGTGAACGTGTGAGCATTAGTGTGCATATGTATATGAGTACATGTATATAGGTGTGTACTTGACTGTGCAAGCATGTTTGTATATGTTTAGTCTTTGTTAGCTGAGTTGATTCTCCCCACTAGCCTGCCCTAGCAAAGTCCTGG